AGCAATTCCCTGCACTAAGTCTCCCGCACCTACTCCGAGCCCTCTGTCTAGAGTGAGTTCTAGTGTTTCCTGGCTAGCACAGCTCTGGCTCTGAGCTTGCCTGTGCCAGGGAAGGTGCTTTGCATGCTTTTGTCCCCACTGCCTCCTCCATGTCTGATGTCCAACGATTCAACCTGGGGAGCTGAGCAAGGGCAGGTGGGGCTCTTCACACTATGGCAGGAGACCTACAGTCAGAAGGTCGTTTAATTTGTCCCATCTTTAGGGAGAAACAAGGCTTAGTATGTGCCTTGTTGGGCAGCCATATGGTACTACTGCTTGGGATCAAGCAGACTGTTGGGAGTGGCAAACATTTAATTTCAGTTACCTTGAGCAGCAAGAAGGCTCCAATTATTTCATAAACACAGGCCTATGAAACAAGGTTGCCTAAATCTCTAAAGTATCCATATGTTTCTTCTCCCCATTTCCTCCATCGCCCCTCTTCCTCTGCCTCTTCTTCCTATTTCCTCCATCTCCCTCCCTTCTCTTTTCTCCTCCTTTTCCTTCTTTCTGTCTTCATTTTTCACCTCCTTCTCCTTCCCTGTCTTTTTACCAAACCCCAGTAACTACCACCAGATATTCATTGCAACTTAGCAGAACTCACATCTTTCACTCCAACGAAGAGCAATAGCTTTCTAGAGGGTTACACATATAGATCAAGGACTTAGAGCCAGGGAATGTGTTCAGGTGGGATAGGATTAGATATTAAACCCTTTGCTGGGCAATTTTATACTGTGGACCACTACTTGCCTCTGGTCCTTCTGTTCCTGGAATCCTCAGCTCCAGCCCTAGTGGTCTAAGTTGTGGCAGTTTTGCTCGCACATTTGATAGGAGCTGGAGTTTGATGAGGAGCTGCCCTTATTTCAAAAGTCAGCAGTGCCTACTGCATGGGAAACTATGAGGTCAAGTTGGAACTTGGAGTGTGTCTTCTTTTCCAAGCCACCATGTGGCTGCTAAATCATGCCCACCATCCTGAAGCACAAGCACATCACCAGGTTATTATTTAAGTATGTCTGATCCTGTTTGTTAGATCAAAGTGAGATATTATGGGATATGCTCTGTATTATATCCTATATTGTCTTAGCTTGTGCAGATCACACACACACACACACACACACACACACACACACACACGGGTTATAGGTTTCTTTATTATTTATTTATTTGGTGGGACTGGGGTTTGAACTCGGGGCTTCATGCTTGCAAAGAGGGAGGAGCCCTACTACTTGAGCCACGCTTCTAGTCCATTTTGCTCTTGTTATTTCAAGAACTGTTTGCCCAGGCTGGCCTTGAACTGCGATCCTCCTGATCTCAGCCTCCCAAGGAGCTAGGGTTATAAGTATAAGCCACAGTGTAATGGGTTTCTTCTGATACCAAAACTAACAGACCCAACAAATGCTTAGGAAGGGTGCTGAGGTGCTGAGGCTGCTCTACTTATTTAAAATAGTAAGCTCAGATGCTATTTAAAGTCACTGATGAGAGCAAATTAATGAATTTTTAAAATATTTTATTAGCACCAATTAATTGTACAAATGGTTTCATTGTAATATTTTATACTGTACTATGATCAAATTCACCCATTTATTTTACTCTTTAAAATTTAATATTCAAACATATTTGGTATCCCAGATAATGTTTACTATTTAATTATGCTTTTGTGCTGGAATCTATACTTTCGGTGTCCCAATATGAAGAATAATAACTAACTGACTGATTGGTTAGTGACTTGATTTAATTCATTACCTTTCATAGTGAAGGAAATACTGACTTAACTAAAGAGGTTTTTTTTAAGAAAAAGTGACTAGTTTTTAGAATGTTTAGATTCCTACTTGCTGCATACTGTATTTCCTGTATTTGCCTTAAATCTTCAAAACAGAAATTACAACATAGCCAAGCACAAAATTCTATGTGTTTTGAGCCATTTCTTATCATCTAGAAAGAAACTGATTATCTAGTTACTTCAAATAACTTCACCCCATTGAAACCTAGTCACAAACCAGACATCAGCAATTGAGCTTTGGATTCACTGAAGCAGTTATCACCAATGGAGGAACTAAAATCCATGTCACGACTACTATGAAAAAACACCATGGGCCTTCACTCTAGAACTCATTACTTAATTTTTCATGTGATTATAAACCTTAATGATCTGATTTTCCAGCTTGAACGATATCACTTAGATGGCGTCATGGAGGAGGTACAGGCAACAAAGGACGGGAACAGTGATTTGAAAGGAGCTTTGGTCAGATAGTAAGATAGCTGACAGAAGAATAACTGGTCTTTGCAGTAAGATGTGTCATGCAGTGTTTATGAGGAAAAATTCAGGTTATAGTCTGTATATTTGCCTCAAGAGGCACAGAAGTATGTAATGTATTTTAGGAGGGTCTTTTATAAGTTCAATATTATTTAGTTAAAGCTAGTGTTATAACTTATAGTACTTTATTGGCTATATTGCAGTTTGTAGAACATTGCACTGGAATTGTTTCTGCTGAATGATGTTAGTGTATTTATATGTGGCCCCACAAACTGAGAGGTAACATACATACCTTAACCCAGTGACCCTCAAACTCTTGTAGCCCACATCCCTCATTCAAAAAAGATTCTGACTCAGAATCCTGATGTGTAAACAAAGAAAAGAAGGGGTCCTCTGGTTTCAGTGAATGCACAAGGCTTCCTGAGCCTACTCAGTGTTCTCCTTCCCACCTTCCTCAGTGACTTCTTTTTTAGAAACCTCCAGAATCCCTAGTGCTCAAAGAACGGAATAACAGCACAGTGCCAGGCACAAAGCTAGACCAAAGTAGGAGTTATTGAAAAGGAAGGCGCCATTCAAGCACCCTGAAGTCACAGTCGATGAAGGTTGTCCTCCACCCCTAGAATAGTGTTTCTTTGTTTATGTGCATAGGATTGACCAGGGTGTGCATAGGATTGTGGATGGGGAAAAGTAGACTAGAATAAATCCCAGTTTCCTTAATACCACTATACCTCCAATTAGCAATGTGACTGTCCTTTTTTTTGATTGTACTTGGATGTGAACTTGGGGCTTCATGCTTGCTAGGCGGGTGCTTTCCCACTTGAGCTGCCAACCCTGCAGCATGACGTTCTGCAGGTGGTGCTCGTGCAGTGTCCGAATAGGACATCCGTAGGGAACAGGAGAGCAACCATTGTTTGCTTATGGGCATTCCACTCCTGAAAACTTGCAAAGTAGAATTTTACCATTGCTGTTTCTATGATTTCTACAACTACTATGATTACTACCACTGCTGCTGCTGCTGTTACTTCACTTTTTTCTTGTTCTTCTAGTCATGTGTGCCCCTTCTCTTCTCCCCCTTTTCCTTCTTTCCCACTCCTCCTCTTCTTCCTTCTCTTTTTAGTAGATGAACATACCTTTCAGTGGTGTCACTAGATTCTTTGGTTTCCTGTATCTTTTATAGTTTTCAGAGTCCATTGACTGTCAAACTTACTCAATCTTCTACATCATGTGCTTTCCTCAAGAAGAGGAAAGCCAAGAGTATCCACAAACAGGGTCAATAAACCCCAGTTAATGCTAGTCTACAAATGCCATTGCTGCTGCACTACTGTGTTGTAGGTACTTGGTTGGTGACAGGCACACTGTCATCACTTGTCTCAACAGGGGTGATGCCCCATGGTGAATGACTGGAGCCAAGGAGTTAGGAGGCATTCTGGATCTGCCCTTTCATGTGGCTCTTTGCAGTCCCTCCTGTCTCCTCTGGCAGAAGCAATAACCTGTTCCTTCTCACTGACCTGCTGTAGTTGACTGAACACTCATTCTTCAGCAGGGGAAGCCACTCGTCAGAAGACAGGAGGCTGTCTTAGTCTGTCCTGGCACCTTCTTGAAGGACAGGGACTCTCAGCCTTTCACACTTGGATGCTTTGGTGGACTGCTTGGTAGATAGGCTTTTCATGGACGTTTCAGCACTCAAACACAATTTATTCAGATCATCTTTCCAGTCTGTCCTTGTAGAGAGGGTAAGGGATCCTAGTGGGGGGGGTCTCCAGGATACTGGCAGGGATAAAGTCAAGAGTCCACCCCATTCATCTCTGTCCCTGCAGCATGTTTCTATTCTTACCGAAAAAACATTAGAAATCTTTTTGTTGTGAATTTAAACAGGTACCAACTGTCTAAGGAGTCTTTTTTTTTTTTTGGTGGCACTGTGGTTTGAACTCAGGGCCAAGGGGCAAAACTGTATAATGCTGAGAAGCTAGACAACAAGGCTCTGCTGTATCTTAATTAGAAGACCTTGGAAAGGTAGCTTTCTATACCTCAGTTTCTCATCTGTAGGATGGGGGTGCAAATAGTGCCTATTTCATAGGATTGTGAGGACTGAATGAATTACCATTTGTGAAGTGCTGTAAGGGCACTCAGCAAAACCTATATTCATATTAACTTCCCCCACTGCTTTCATTATTATTATTATTGTTTCCTGGGTATAAAAGCTAGACTTGTGCTCTCTCTTCAGAAGATTTGGGCAGAGACTCAAGTAGCTTAGTATAGATTTGTGCCTGGAATAGAAACCTCAAGTGACTGGCCATTGAAATGTAGACTCCCTTGCAGTAAGAAAGGAATGACTGATTTGAATATAGACCTAAGTAAGGTTGTTGGCTCTGCCCCTTACCTACTTGAGTGAATTTTTTTTTAATTGTTAGATCACAAAACTTGCAAAATTTTTATACACTTAATACATAGCAGCTATAATTATTTCTTATTATATGTGAAAGAGCAATCTAGGCCACTGTAGGTCATATGGATATGTGGCTACTTGGGTGACTCCACACTTGATGAAGTTTGCATTGTGGTTTATTTATTGTTTCAGATGAAGTTTTAAATTTCCTTAGTGAAAATAATTGCAATTTTGCTTTATTTATATATACTGGCTTTAAGACCAGGGAACTCTTCAGAACAGACTGTTAACATTTCTTTCCTGCATTTTGATTGAATATTGTAGAAATCGGCCCTCAGGAGGAAGTGTGCGGTCTGTAAAATCGTGGTTCACACTGCCTGCATTGAGCAGCTAGAAAAGGTAAGAGAGCTCCCCCTGCTGCCACTTTTCTGCATCGCAAGTGTTTGGTTTACAAGGACCAGGTATCAATTTCTATTTCAAACTTTTTAAAAAACTAGTCCAGCGTAATTACCAGATTAACAATTAAACAGTAGTATTTAATGATCATCCAGTCTGTTTTTTACTGAAGTGTACTTTCATATAATTTTAAGTTGACTATTGAGAAAAATAATGATAAAATTTGGGGGAAAATTCTGCTACACCCTAATCCTCTTCCTATATCATCTCTGCTCTTCCACAAGAGGTTTTGTTTAAGAAAAGGTTCCGTAAGCTCTTTAAGATCACAGTTTACCTGTGTTTTCTTTATGAATTCCCTTCCTAAAGTGGCTGCAAGGAGGAAATCCGAGCCTGAAGTCAACCTCAGTCTCTTTGGGTCTTGTGAGCAGCGATATTGCTTGTTCAACATGAAGTGAGACAGGACTGGAAGAGACGTCCCAAGGGCATCTTGCCTCCAGAAGAAGTGGATTCTACTTAGTCCATTTATTTGAGGGAAGGGAAAATCCACTATGAGTTGCCTACTGTTTTCTTTTATATTTCTTAACTCCATCTGTTTGTCTTTGTGTATTTTCTGTTTTCTTGAGCTGCCATTTGTAAAGTCAGTGAAATATTTTAGTTCCATGTGACATTCATTTAGTTTCACTGATGTATTACTATTTGTGGTCAACTGATATATTGTAGAATGACTCCTAATTTTTATCTTAATATTTCTTTCCCATAGCAACCATACTTATTCACCTCCTTGGTTCCTATATTCCTTTCTCCTTATCTAGGAGCTGATGAAGTTATAAATAAATGTGCCATCCACACAAAAGAAAAGCAGTACTGAATCCTTTTACAAAATTAATCTCTGTGTGTGTTTGAATCATTGTTATAACATTTACAATTTCTCAAGTTTGTATTTTGTACTTCTGAAGTCTCAAACGCAATTGGATGGTTTCAGCTGCTATGTATTTTTCCTCTGACTCTTTCTTATTTCAGTTTCTCAAACTTGCAGTCTAATGATGTTATTGTTTAAAGATTGTTGATTCCATCCCTGAAAAATGAAGGAACATGGACTGGAGATATAAAGTCACTTGACATCTCTGTGAATTATCTAATGTGATGATTACATACAACTAAGAATAGATTAAAATGATATTCTTTATTCTTTGGGGGTTTTGTTTTATAGACTCAACTGTTTTTTTCAGGTAACTCAATCTAGTGTTATGCTTATTCTTGATACATTTTTCTTTTTAAATGACAGATTAATTTCAGATGTAAACCAACATTTCGAGAAGGAGGTTCAAGATCACCAAGAGAAGTGAGTATTTCCTGGTTGTTTTAAATACTCTGTGTGTTTCCACGGACTCAATGGACTCATGTGCAGCTGAGATTAAAAAATAAGCAATTTCCCCCTCAATTCCTCATCAATTTCTTGTTAAGAAATCCATAAAATCTACAGTCTCTTTAACACATGTGCATTGTACTTTATCCTGCTCATGAAATGTAATGGTGTCTTACTGATGAACCAGAAAGTGGTGGCTGGGTGGAGGGATGGACTTGGAAGTGTAAGAAAGCAATAGCCTTTATTGTTTTTTGGCCAGTTTAATTCCACTTTCTCACTTTTGAGTAGGTATAATCTATTCAGGGGCAGTGGGTTGCTGGCTCTTCAGTGTGGGAGTTGGGCTGTCTGTTTTCAAAGACACCTGGTGCTGTGTGACTCTGGGCATCTTACGTAATCTGTAAGTCACAGTGCTTTCATCTGTAAAGTCACTAAATAGAAGAGTACTCAGTAATCAGTACACAGTCCCTAACTTTGAGGTCTGGTTGTGAAGATAAACAGGTGGGTAGAAAACTAGAAAGAAGAGTGAGTGCTGCCATTTTGGTTTTCAGCAGAGATGTAATGGAGGGAGACAGCATGGAAACACATTTGTTCACTCAGCTTTTGTGTAGGAGATACTAACTACAGTGTCTTTACCCACTTCATTTACATTCCCAGTGAGGTGGGATTTAGTTCCACTTAGAGATTCACCCCTTGGAAACCTTCCCAGCTTGAGTACTCCTCAAAACAGCTCTGTGGAGTTTGACTAGGAAGGAGAGGACAGGGCTTCCTGGCAGAGGTAGGCACTAAACAGATTCTGAAAGGAGTAATCTAAGTTAAGAGATTGAAGGTGATGGGCATGAGGTGAGTGAGAGCCATCTAGACAGAAAGCGTACAGCATACGAACACATGTGAGAGAGCCTAGTAGGACATGTGACCTAGGAGATAAGCAAGAGCTAGACATGAAGGTTCTTGGACATCATGCTGTAAATTGAGTGTTTATCATCAGAAGAGTTAGGCTGGCATCGTGGCACATGCCCGTAATGAACAAGGCAAAGAGGATGAGGCAGGAGGATCATGAGTTCGAGGCTAGCCTGGGCTACACTTTTAAATCCAAGTGGCCAAAAAACACATGAAAAAATGTTCACCTTCTCTGGCCATAAAGGAAATGCATATCAAAACCACACTAAGATTCCACCTCACCACTGTTAGAATAGCTGTCATCAAAAACACCACCACCAACAAATGTTGGTGAGGATGTGGGGGAAAAAGGAACCCTTGTACACTGCTGGTAGGAATGCAAGCTAGTACAACTACTTTGGAAAACAATATGGAGACTCCTTAAGAAATTAAACATACATCTGCCATATGATCCAGCAATCCCACTCCTAGGGATATACCCAAAGGAATGCGACACAGGTTACTCCAGAGGCACCTGCACACCCATGTTTATTACAGCGCTATTCACAATAGCCAAATTATGGAAACAGCTAAGATGCCCCACTACCGACAAATGGATTAAGAAAATGTGGTTTTATACACAATGGAATTTTACTCAGCCACGAAGAAGAATGAAATCTTGTCATTCACAAGTAAATGGATGGAACTGGAGAACGTCATCTTAAGCAAAGTTAGCTAGGCTCAGAAGGCCAAAAATCGTATGTTCTCCCTCAGTGCACTCTTTAGATCTAAAACAAATGCAGTAATATTATTGCACGTGGGTCCCATGCTAAGGGAAGGATACATACATGAGGAATAGGGAAAGGTAGGAAGCCCAAAACTTGAAAGTGTTTGATGTGCCCACTGTAGAGAAGCTAATATAGTAATCGTAAAATGACAGAGGTCACTATGGGAAGGTGACTGGGAAGTAGTGAAGAGGTCTGGTAGAGATGAATCAATTCGGGTTGTAATACACATGTGCATGGAAGCAATGCTAGGAATCTCTCTGTATAGCTATCCTTATCTCAAACTAGCAAAAATGCTATGTCTTTCTTATTATCGCTTATGTCTTCTCTTCAACAAAATTGGAGAAGAGGGCAGAACAGGTTCTGCCTAGAAGGGACAGGGGTGAGGTTCTGCCTAGAAGGGACAGGGAGGGAGAGAGGGCAGGAGGCATGGGGGAGAAATGGCCCAAGCAATGTATGCACATATGAATAAGTGAATTTAAAAAAACGGTGCTTAAGTAGAAAAAAAAGAAGAGTTAGGAAGGGGGCACTAAATACATTTTGCTAACTGCAGTGGGGAGGGAATACCAAGTAGTTCAAGAGCACTGCTATTGGAGGCATGGAGACAAAATCTGGAATCTGCTAGTAATCTGGGGAAGAAATAATGGTGCTCTGAAGTAAGGGTAATGTGGGAGGTAAACAGGAGTTTGAAGGAAACAGAATTGTTAGGATGTAGTAATTGATTAGATTTTAGATGTGAAGGATGGGAGATTGTTCCAGAATAAACCAAGCTTTTGCTTTGGAAAACTGGTGAGGTGTTGAAAAAGGAAAAGGAATTGATTTTAGGGTGGGGCTGGGAGGTGCTGAGTTTAGCTATAGAAGCACCAGGTTTGCGATGTCCTTGTGGCCCCTAATTGGAGATGCCCAGTGGAAAGCTGTGTGGGTAAATGGATTTGGAGCTTATAAGGAAGAATGCTTATAAGGAGGTAAATTTGTGTGCGGCCAACATATAGATAGTAATTAAAGGTATGACAATAGGATGAATGTATAGGATGGGAAGGAGTAGAAAATGTCTGAGTACAGAGAAGATCACAAACTACAAATACTTTAAAGATATGAAAAATGACTGTGCAGGTCAGGCAGGCATGGTGGTGCACACCTGTAGTCCCAGGTACTTGGGAGGCTGAGGCATAATCCCTTGAGTCCAGGAGTTTGAGGCCAGTCTAGCAATATGTGAGGCTCTGTCTCAAACAAACAAACAAACAAACAAACTAAAAGGTAAAAAAAAAAAGATTGGGAAAAGAGCAATCTCATTGTTATTGATGAATATAAGAGGATTCAGCAAAAACGTGGAGAGAGAGTAGGTTGGAGGTGGACATGTGTAGAGAGGAAAAATAGTTGTCTTCTCCCATTTTTTGTCCAGTATGGCAACAAAAAGGTGAGAGAAGTGTGAGGAAAAATGGTAGCATTGTGGGGGCCCTCTGTGCCATCCATAGTCTACTGTAGCATTGACCAGAAGATCACTCAGTGATACACAAATGGACAAGATGTTTTATTTAGGAAAATAGAAGGTATAGTTTTGTGTTCTTAAGATGGAGTTACTGAATTTCCAATCAAGAGGTGCATATGTCTGCCTTCAGCTCCCTATTCTTCACTCTCTCTCTCTCTCTCTCTCTCTCTCTCTGTCTCTCTCTCTCTCTCTCTCTGTTTCCCTCTCTCCCTCCCTTTCTCTCCTGCCCACCTTTCTAGGTAGATAAATAGACAGATAGATAGACAGTCAAACAAGAATTTTAGCTTTAGTTGTATGTACAGTTTTTCTAATGCAAGGGTTTTATTAATTTATTTTTTGGTTTTCTTTAGCTACATTGCTTTTCTTTTCTGAAACTAGATCCACCATGAAGGTTTTGGACACTTTCCCTTGTCTTCTTATCAAGGACTTGATCCTTCTGTTTTTCCTACATTTCAGTACTCCCCCCCCAACACCATGTCTATATTAAATCCATCAGCATGAGCATTTTCTTAAAAAAACATAAACAAAGTATTTCTTAACTACCAACCGAGTCTTAAGTATTACCCTGATTTTCAGTTTTGTGTTCACTGCCAAGCTGCCAAGCTTCCAGAAAGTGTTAGCTACATAAATTATTTTTAGTATGTCATTTCTAGTCATCTTAACCTGATCTGGTTTCTCCTCTGTCTGTTTACTGAAATTGCTTTTTCAGTGTTGCCAATGACTTCCCTCCCAGCAAACCTAGTAGATACAGTTCTTTCCTTATTCAGTCTGTCAGAGATAGTCATAATATTACATATTTCATTCTTCTTTACACGCTGTGCTCTCTTGTTTTCTAGCATCACTCTCTCCTAATTTTCCTCTTCATTGGCTAGCTCTTTCTACTTTGTTTCATTGCTCCCTCCCCCGACTGCTACATTTCCCCCTGGGCTTAGTGCTATGTTCTCTTATCTCTTCCTACTCTTGTTAGATAGGACATCTCCTGGTTTTATATTATTGTTATACTGCGGGTACACTGTGACATTTACAAAAATGCTTAAAATATATCTTAGTTAACTTTACCTCTTCCATCATTCTCTTTTATCCCCCCTATTTTTAGAATAGTTTCAACAGCTCTCATTTTCCCATTTTCTTATATGAAAACTGTTGTTTTTCAATTCTTTTGTCCCTCAGAAAATTGGCTCATCAATTGAGCAAACTGGAGGACGGTTATACTGATTCCTTCCCTCATATACTTTCCACCTCCAGTTTCTTGCCAGTTCTGTCAATTTTATTCATAAAATGTATTTCAAATCCATCCACTTAGACTAAAGTACTGTGGTTTCACCTTTGATCATTGTAACAGCTTCTTCATGATTCTTCATTTTCTCCCTTCAATCTATCCAAGTTTTAAGGGAGTGATCTTTTGAAATGAAAATTAGATTATGTCATTATCCAGCCTAAAACTTTTCATGATTTCTATAGCACTTAGAGCAAAACCAAGCCCTTCGTCTTGGCATGAAAGACTTGTGTAGTCTGGCCCTGTCTACCTCAGCCCTGTCCAGCTGCTGCAGGGTCATTCTTTCAGTTCCTGCTACACACCCCAAGGTATTTCCCACTTTTGGGAAATTCAGAATTGCCACATTGAAGATCTCTTTGCATGACCAGCTACTTCTTATAGTTAGGGTTTAACTAAAATATCACCCTCTCAAAAGTTGTCTTAGTTCAGCATAATACCCCTGATGGGGTGGCTTATAAATAACCACAATTTGTTTTTCACTGTTCTGGAGCCTGTGAAGTCCAAGATCAGGGTGGCAACATGGTTTGGTTCTGGTGAGGGTTCCCTTCCACGTTGCTGCTTTCTTGTTGTATCTGCACATGGAGGAAGGAGGGCAAGAGATTTCTCTGGGGTTCCTTTTATAAGGCACTAATCCCATTCATGAAGACTCCACCATCTTGATCTAGTTACCTCTCCCAAACTTCCCCTCCTAACAGTGGGTTAGTGTTTCAACGTATGAATGCTGGGGATAGGGGAGTGTTCACAAAAAATAGTCCGTTATAGAGCTCTTCTTTAATGACCTGTGAATAGTAGCATATTGTTCTTTGTCAAAACACCTTGTTCTGTCTCTTCAGATCACTTTGTAAGTCAATATTTATGGGTATTGTTGTTTGCTTGTCTGACAGTGTTTTTCTCTGTTAGTGTAAACCTTGGGGGATTATTCATGGAATTTGTTCCAAACTGTGTCAGGACACAGAGTATACGATCAATGAATGTCTGCTGTCTGGATGCATTTATAAGCAGGTCCATTTCTTCCAAAATGCATAAGAACTCATGGTCTAAGAGGACACTTTAAAGATGAAACATGACTGACTATGACTCATTTGATTTTCTTAATTAAGAGACTTTAAGTAGATTACTCAATGTGAATGAAGGAACACTCACTTTAGAATTAGTTTGACCTGGATTTAAATTCCACCTCTGCTTCTTTTCTATTAGCTGTTCAGGTCCCTTAAGAGTACGGATTGATCACTGAGCCCTGCCACTGTATAGTGCTTAACACACGGCAGTTTTTAATGAATATTTGTCAGATTCCTTCTCTCACTTGACTCGTTCTGGAACTCAGTCTTCTTAGTCATAAGCTCATATGTTGGGTTATGATTTCTAAGTTCTTTTCAAGCATTCTCTGGATGATATTTCTAATTGAATTGGATGTTTGAAAATAGCTGAGCAATTGTGTTACGTATTTCTGTTAACATTACTGAAATAATGTGTCACTGATATTTTAACACCAGCAAGTAATAGCCTTTTTTTCCTTACCCAGTACTTGAAGTACTGTATGAATAATTCAGAAATTATTGATGAACAATGAAAAGATGATAGGGTGTTATAAGTCTCTCATTGCTATCTTAACAATAGTGTATCAGCACCCACATTTTCAGTATAAGAATCTCAAATCTAATATCAGTTCAGCAATTTACGAGATACAAGTAATCATCAAAAGAACATAGTATGAAAGAATATAATTTCAGTCTAACAATTTAGGACATATGAATTATCATCAAAAGAAAAAATTGTGAAGAATCTAATTTCAGTCCAGTAATTTAGGAGATATGAAGAATGGTCAAAGAAAATGGAATGAAAAAGTAAAGTGCTTAGGAGATAAGGATTTGAAAATAGCAGTGATTCTATGGTGATTTTTTTCTTTTCCTTATTGATGAAGGCAATAGATGATCTTCCCTCTCCCAAGTGGTAACCACATGATTAAGTTGTCAAAGAAATAAGGTTCAGAATTCCATTCAATTTGCCATGCATTTATTAGATATTTACTTTGTTCAAACTATGTTTAAGCAGCAGTAGAATAAATTTATATTAGGCTTAAGGAGAACTCTGAGTAGAAGGATGCTGGACATCTTTACTAGGGTTCTTCTACAATAGTGATTTCAAGTACATTACTTTATCTGTGCCTTAGTTTCCTCAGTTTTCTACTTATTTTCTAGCAAGGATAATATTAAAGTAAAGATCCTATTAAACTTATCTAATGACTGGTACAGTCATGTATATTAATGTTTTCTTTTATTCCCTAAATAAACTAAATATCATTATTATAAATCTGCTTGGCAAAAGATGGTGTTGCAGTACAGGTCATTAAGTCAGTCACCTAATTTCTAAATAATTGTTGATTTGTGCAAATGGGTGATTTAATCTTTTGAATAGACCTGTCACTAGCTAAATAATCCCACAAGTCAGCCATAATTTCTAATAAGTAATTGCATTCAATTCTTCAAACATTTCCCTTCTCAAGTTTATAGTCACTAGGTGATTTATAATCTCAATTAAGTATAGAATTCCTCTTAACATCAATGATACTACTCATTCTCCCTCAGTTTTTGCTCAACTAACAGCAATTGTATTAAATTTTCTATCCCTTTTAATTACTGTCTAACATTTCAATAGATTCAATATGTCTACTCTTGGCTGTCATGAAATCATTTATTGATGTGTTGTGTGGAAGTGGCTTGAATGTAATCTTTCAGAGCAGAAGAGAGGCAGAGACACAACAGAAGGAGCAGTGACTCTGCTGCCAGCCTGTCACAGTTTGATTCCTTGATTTGACTCAGTACATTTAAGTGACTTCTCTTTCTTCAGTTTTCTCATATGTAGAGCAAGGATTGCAATACTAGCTAAAGTCAAACCCTTTGAGGAGGTGCCCTATAACAGTGTGAGTCAGGACATACCGTAGTCCTCCTTTTCTTAAGTAGTCAAGGGGCTAACAGGCCTGTCTTACCACTACAGCAGGAGGCTGAAGGGCTCATTAGCAACTTTGCCTGCAAAGTGAGAAGGGGGAGGGTGTAGGACCTCCATCCTCAATCAGTTCAGTTTTTGCATACAACTGAATGGAAGAACATTGATGATGTGGCAGATTCCTACAATTACTGCCACTGTCTTGGAAGTCACAGCCAACCATGGGACACAGAATTGTCCATGTGGATATGAAGCTTACACAAAAACTGCTGTCGTCTGGGCCCAGCCCAATCTTCTGAGGTTCTCAAGGGCCAGGTGGGACTAACGCCATTGCCCAGGCAAGATGATTTGTTTTTGCAAGAGACTCATTGGAGCAGGATCCTGGAGACCAGATAAGTCAGAAGTTCACATTCTGATTGCTTAATAATGAAGAGGCAGACATGGCCTCCAGTGTTGAGGGAATGTGGCAGCAGTTGCTATGGTAACAGGGGAGGAGCAAGCAAGATGATAGGGGCACTAATTTTCAATTTACCAACCAAAACAGAAATATTTCATTATTTTAACCAGTCCTGGGACTTCACTGGTACATTCCTACCGAGTAGCATCTCTACTCACTAAAATCCTCATGAAGATGGAAAGAATTATTACCTGTAAAATACTTTTAAAAGTGTCTGGGACATAGACAGTACTTACTAAGAGATATTATTATTAATTTTTCTGAGAGCAATGTAAAATTTTGCCTTTATTTTATTAAAAGGTGGCAATGGGAAACACAAAATGAAAATTAGACAAATTTTGGAACCATTATGTTTCCTTATGTCTTACTATCATGAAAAATCGTTATCCCTCCGGGGTCTTTGTTTAGTCTTACTTTAAATTAATTTGACATTATTCAGAGAAATAGAGCAGTGCTAATGCACTCACTATGGATTTCATGCCTGCCTTGATAATAATGTTTTTCTTTTTTCAACACTGATATATTTTCTTTGTCTGTGCTTAGAACAGTGTCTGCCATGTAGTAGGCATTTAATAAATATTTTTCTGACTGAATATATATTAAAGGACCTTTCAAAGGGAAAATATGGCTAGGTCCTACGAGGAGCATGTTAGTAGCAGGTAATGTGTTTTCTCAGAAAAGGGCAAGAGAAAACCATGGGGAGCGCTTTGGTGTATTGTTCTAAGAGGAACGGGTTATATGAATTTATTAAGATTACCCGCATCATTAGTCCTGAAGACAGTGACCTCTCTTGTGATGTGTCTGAAGAGTTGGAGGAGATGGGGCTGCTTCACTGTGCTCCAGGGGTGATCGTCTACGTAGGAGGAGAAGACTTGCTGTGTTTCCTACAGTCTGGGACAAGAATAGACCTTGAAAGCTAATCTAGCTCAGCATGCCTGAGGATCGTTTAAACACGCATATTGGTGCCAAATCATCACCAATATGCCCACGTATCTTGTGTTTTAAGTGTCTTTTCTTTAGCTTTTCTCTTCATTCACTTCGTCAAATCGGTGTCCTAGATCAGGAGCTCTATCTCTGAGAATGCTTTAAGCTCCTTCCAACTAGAATGTTTAGAACTGTACCTTCCTGCTAGATAAAATGTCATTGTACATGCTTGTTATATTGAATTGGATATTATTGTTTCAGCTTTTCACCTCTCTTTGAGTGTTTATTATGTATTAACTTTTGGCAGCACTGAGGTATGAATTCAGGACCTCACTTGCTAGACAGGTGTTCTACCACCTGAACCAAGCCCTTAGCCTTTTTGCTTTAGTTATTTTTAAGATAGGAGCTCATGCTTTTTTGCCTGGGGCTGGCCTCAGACCTCAGTCTTCCTACCTCTGTCTCCCATGTAGCTGGGATTACAGGTGTGAGCCATAATGCCCAGATCTTTGGGTGTTTCTTTATCTGCTTCAGTAACCTCCCAGCTGATGGTCCCTTAGCTATTCCCAAATCCACAGTGTTTTAGTAGTATGATAGAGTGAGAGTAATCTGGTATGGTCATTTACCACTAGGAAGAGAGAGACAGGAAAGGAGGACACAATAATTGGAACGTACAAGAATGAAAGATCCCTGGGCATAGAGAATTAGCTGCATTTTTCTGAGTATGTTCATGTTTTTGTTAAAACAATCACACCTATGCATTTGCTCTTATGCTTATGTGGGCTTGGGTTATGGTTTCTATAAATCTATAGTTCAAAACATTAAAAACAAGATTACTGACATTTTCAAGTTAAAGCATACTCATTTAACCTTGTTTCCCCACAGAATTTTGTACGTCATCACTGGGTGCACAGGCGCCGGCAGGAGGGAAAGTGTAAGCAGTGTGGTAAGGTAAGGGCCCCACCTGCCATGCATGGCCACCATAGAAGGTTCCTTTGCAAGCACCTGAGGTAGACAGTCCTATTCCCTCATCCAGCATTCAGTGCACTGATCCTTTCCTGAAATGGTGTATTTCCCCAGGTCTCCTTTTCTTAAGAGGGGTTTCAATTGTTCTAGACTTCACCACAAGTAGCAATGGTCTTTATAAAAAGAATTATACTTTTTAAGAGAAATGGATGAATTTTTGCAATGAATTTCATTGATTATTGATTCTTGAAAACCTAAATCTTCCTATTTTGTTAAAACTCCCTCATGAGGATTACTGCCCCATCCTATTTATTTGATCAGTAACAGCAAATCAATTGGAGTAACACTGTTGCTGATGTACAACTGTGAACATATGCACCATGATGCATGATGAACTGTTTAGAACACATATGATCAGAATCTGGAAGTGTGTTACTCCACAGGACATTGTCTGACTTCTGGGAAGAGATGTCACATTGGTGGTAGTGTGTGTCTGTTCCCTCTCTTAGTGTGAGAGGTTACAGGCCCCTCAAGTTGCAGCGATGGCTTTTTTCCAATGTACAGAGATCTGCTTTACAGATACCAAGATCTTCTAAGAAGATGCATCTGGTGGTGTACACTGTAAAGATTCTTTTTCATGACATCAGTAGTCAGCTGATGGCACCAGAAAAGGAAAGATCTGACAGAGAGCAAGATACTTTGGGAGAAAATATTCTTCATCAACTGATTATTAATTTGTTTATTTATTCATGTGACTCCTTTGGATCAAACATTGGGCTAAATGACCAGCACATCAGACAATAGAGTGATGTAAAGAGATATTGGCAGTCTGCGGGGGGCAGTGGGGGATGAGGGAGACTTGGAAAGTATTTCACTGGTTTTGCTGTGTGCCCTGTGCCTGAGAAGAAAAATTCATAATATCATGCCGTAATCATTGGTTTCCAAGTTCTCCTCCAGAAACTCCAGGGTGTGGCTCTCCATTATGACTCCTGTTATTTTGTCCAGTTTGACAGTTGGCTCTCAGTTGATTCTCTTTTAGCCCTTAAAGAAGATAGAATCAGTTAAAAAGGGGTTGAGGTAACAAGAACACAAGGCAGGAAGGAGTAGGAAAAATTTTTTAGCTATTTTACATGACTCAGGAGAAGAAGGAGGTCAGTTTTATATTCTCCCATGAATGTCCTCCATTGGGCCCATTTTTAGCTCTTCCTTTGTGGTGTTGCCTTGGGTAGGGCTTGTAAATTTTCTCTTCATGAATTGTAGACCACTATAATGAGAGAAATGGGGGTAGGGAGGATGGAGGGAAGAGAGGAGGGGAGGGGAAAAGAAGAGGAGAGGAGAGGAGGGAGCAGATAGGCAGGCACAACCAATTTTGGAATCAGGGATGTGGATTGTAGGAAGGAGCTAGATGAATAGGTTCTTTTCCTTGGAAAAATATCTTCACTGGAGAGCCTAGTAGCTGTCACTCAACAATGCAAGCTGTAATGAAGTTGAAAGAATTTTATTAAAGGAAAATCAATAAACATATTTTGTAACAAGTATTCCCCAGTGACATACTGTTGTCCCTTTTACATTCCCTTATTATATGCAGGCACGGAAAAACTAGATGGGAAGCCTTGGATTTCCCTATACTCTGCGGTGCTGTGGCTCAGTCCCCTCTCCAGCCCACTGCTCTCAGGTGGCCATCTTGGAGTACTCACAGCTTGCAAATACTACAGTTATCAGTGGGGATCTCTCAGCTTTGCACCTAATGCTTCTATAATATAGTATTATGTTCATCACTTATGTTATAGTCCAGCAGCTCATGAATCCTTAAACATGAGCAATTATGGGATGAGTGGTCTTAGAGATGTGTCTCATGTCTCCTTGCCAGATAACAAATAGCTCTTCTTTGGATCCCAGCTTGTACCCTGGACTAGAGGAGTGTTGATGGCTCTGTTTCCATTGAAAGATTAAATAACTGAAAATTATTTTCAGTTACTCTGTGAAATTTCCATCACTATAGTTGTACATTTTTACATTTTCCTAGGCTTCTAATTCACACCCAACTTTTGATATATGTGTGTGCATGGGCTCGTGCATACACACACACACACACACACACACACACACACACACACACATTCTCATAAGTTACTCATTGAGATGGAATAAGAAAAATAACCACTTAGTAAAACTTGTGTGTGTGTGTGTGTGTGTGTTTATTGTTGGTTTGTAAACTTTGGAGATTTTAAGGCCATGTTTGTAGTTAGAGTGTTTGTGGTTTTCTATTTTTTAGTTCAACAATAAAGTAAATATTTGGAGTGACGTTCTCTTGAGTCTTGAGTGTTTGGCTGAGTGTGTGTGGCATTTAGTGAATGTCACATGAGAGAGCTCATGGTTCAGTTGCATAGTTCCTTTAACATTAGCTGAACACTTCGGGCTTCCAAGTTTATGATTATTGTGTAATTTTATATTGTTTTTCACAGTCATGCATTATGAAAGAGCCAGAGTTGAGGCAGAAAAGACATGAAGCACTCACAATCAAATTATGTAATTTGATGAGAGTTTAATAAATAAATAGAATATTTAAAATGTGTGAGCAGGGTGAGGGGAAATACCAGGCTAGTGGAACACTGAGTTTAGTAATGTCAGGGCTGTGGACAAGCCAAGCCCGAAGAGGTGGAACCCTGTGTGGATCACAAGACTCAGTCAGCCTGAAATACACTGCCAGCTGTGTGAGGAAATGTCCCAATTTCCCTTTGGTCTGTAGTGGCCAAACCCAACAGGAACCAGAGCTCAAGAGACGCTGTTGAGGCAGCACATAAAAGCCAGCTTTTTATAATGGAATGTAGTTAGAGAAAGATGTAGAATGGACTGGAGAGGCGGTCCATCCAGCACCTATTGTTTAATGCACATCTGTATTCATTTGATGTTTAAATCAATGCATATTTCCTCTGAAAACATGACAATAACTTACCTTCACCAACTCTACACATTGTATTTTGTTCACTCAAAATTTACTCAATGTTGAGTTATCTATTGTCCTTTAAAATCAATATGCAAATAAAGAATATAGTAATGATTATAATTGAGTTGATCCTTCATTCTTTCAGAGAATGAAGTATCCAAACCTAGCAGTTGGGTAATTGTGGAAATATATTTGTAAATCACAACTTGAAAACTTACCTTTTATTTATTCATTTAGAATTATATGTAAACATTACACAATAATTAAGATATCTTTTGGAAACTCACAACTCAAAAAATGTCAGTCATCAAATCTTGAGAGCAATTTTTAATGCAATAACACATAGTTAAAATTTGGTCTGCATTTTTGATGCCTTCCAGTTCCCTAGCTAAACATGAGATATCATTATGAATTGTTTTTTCATTAATCAAATATACTTTCAAATTTAAGTAAAGCTACATGCAGCATATATAATGGACAAATATCAAATGTACTCTTTCATTGTAATGGCCTAATTTAAAATGAACTTAATGTGTAGTAGGTAAAATATGCACACATAAACAAAGTGTACCTCATAGCTGTTTTATAATGCAAAAATGATGAAATGATTAAAAGCATACCATTGGGTGCAGTTAAATTATTAAAGGGACAGTGAAAGGAATTATAGTGCCTAAAATAATGGAAAATACTGACTTACAGCTTGGGGGGATGGTCCATATCAACTTAAAGAACCATTCTCTACTCATCTGAAAATGCGCTTGCCCTGCAGATCAGTTTTCAGGAGATCCTACAGGGTTAGAGGCAAGGAATGGCAGTTCATGGGTGAGGATCCATGCACTAGTTTGGTAGCTTTGGTTGTTTGCCTTTGTGTGAGTTTGTCTAGGTATAACAAGCATCTTCTGCGTTAGCCTGAGGAGGGTCTTGTAGGAGGTATACAGTGGGTAATAAAACAGGGCATGGAATCCAAGGCTTCCATGGAGCCCCTACCACCAGGACTGCTGGAAGCCTTGGGTTTCTTTCTGTCCTTAGCTGAGTACAAAGAAAAAGGGCAAGGGAAGCCACCATCTTACTCTTTGGTTATTTTGGGTGTCTCAGAATTAGTATCAATGTAGTCGTCTCCTTTTGTGTTTGACTTATTTCATTAGTGCAGTATTCTGTAAGTTCATCCAGGGAGAAGATGGGGCAGTAGGAGGTGTTAGCTAAAGGGTACATGGCTTCAGTTATACAAAATGAAAAAGTCCGAGAGATCTGTGTAGCGTAGTCCCTATAGTTCACAATAGTGTTCCATGTGCATAAAAATTTTCTAAGGGAGTAGACCTTGTTGTTACATGTTCTTATGGGAGGGGAGTGTTTGGAAGGAAAATTTTTGGAGGTGATGATGTGTTTTTGGCGTAGATTATTGGACTGGCTTCACAGGTATATGCTCATCAAGTTATATGCACTAATATGTCCAGTTTTTTGGATATCAATTATTCCTCCAAAAAGTTTTCAAAAAAAGGAAAGGAGACAAGACCACAAAGGGCTCCTTGCTTCAGTCCTCTGGTGATACAATCCTCAGTTCTCACTTGTGGAGTCTTTTCACTGTTGTCACTGCCTCCTGGTCTTTAGCATGGTATAGCTAATGTGACACTCTTATCCTGGGGCCATTTGCTCTTTCTTTGGCAGTGCTCCTATGCTTACCCCATCTCTTGTTTCTGTTTCTGGGGCCTCTGGGACTTGTGTGCCCAAGTCACCCATGTGAAGATCAGAAGTCCAAACCCCAGGCCAGAGCCAAAGTGAGGACATATTCTACCACAGTGGTCATGTCCCGTAGGTTTCAGAGGTCCCAGCAAATGACTCTTTCACTCCTTCTTGCAGTGTTTCTGCTTCTAGGAGTCAGATGGTCTTGAGACAAACAGCCTCTCATCCTTCTTTTTTGCTTCCTTAGTAAAACTAATTTGGCTTCTACATTCTCACCCTCCTGTTTTGCAGAATTTGGCCCTACACATAAGCTTCACAACGATCTGAGATTTTGACTCCTAGTCTTTATGTGGGACTG